TGTTCTGAAAATCTAAAAATGCAGAAGGTTTTGTGTGAGGGCTAGATTAAGGGTAAGGGGATAGAAAATGCAATACAGTTTACACCTCTGTAAACCACATATACCAACGTGTGTGTGTGTGTGTTTGTATTTTTTTTTCCTTTTTAATTGCAAAAGAATACGCAGTCAGAGCCAGTAACACCTGCGTGTCTTATCAGATATCATTGTTATGAAACAGCATGCTTATCTCCCTGCGCTCACTATGAAGGGGATGTACCGAAGTTTCCTCTGAAGACCATTTTGATCCTAATCATAGTAATTTTCTATAATCAAAAATGTTGTGGTTGACAGAATTTTTTTAAAACTGTTTCCGCCATTTCATTTCTATCTTTGACATTCACAGGATGGAATTTTGCAATCGTCAAAGGCAAAACCAAAGACAAAATTCAAGCATCACTATTCCATACAGTATTAGTCATAGCCTACTTTTTTTTTTAAATATAACCCAGCGCTGGGTTAAAAAGCCACAAACCCAGCTATTGGGTTGTTTTGACCCAGCAGTTGGGTTCAAAACAACCCAACCACTGGGTCAAAACAACGAACCCAACCGCTGGGTCAAAACAATGAAACCAACCGCTAAGTCAAAACAACGAACCCAACCGCTGGGTCAAAACAACGAAACCAACCGCTGAGTCAAAACAACGACCCCAACCGCTGGGTCAAAACTGCTGGGTCAAAACAACGAACCCAACCGCTGGGTCAAAACTGCTGGGTCAAAACAACGAACCCAACCGCTGGGTCAAAACTGCTGGGTCAAAACAACGAACCCAACCGCTGGGTCAAAACTGCTGGGTCAAAACAACGAACCCAACCGCTGGGTCAAAACTGCTGGGTCAAAACAACCCAATAGCTGGGTTTGTCCCTTTTTAACCCAGCACTGGGTTATATTTAACCCAGAATTTTTTAGGGTGTACTTGTTTATGCTACATTACCAAATGTCCCCACAAGGATAGTAAACCCTGAAATTTTTGACACTGTGGGGACCAGCCTGCGTCCCCCACAAGGAAAAAAAAAGATTAATAATAGTAAATGATGAGCTGTGATCTGAAAGTGTAACAATAGGGTACAAACAGGTTTTCTGTAAGGGGTAGGTTTAGGGTTAGGAGATAGAAAATATCGTTTGGTCAGTATAAAAGTAATAGAAGTGTATGGAAAGGCCCAACAATTCACAGAAACCTAACGTGTGTGTGTGTGTGTGTGTGTGTACTGGTTTATATATCCTGCTGGGGACTTAAACCTGACTACACACAGACTCATGGGGACCCGTGGGGACCTAAATTGTGGCCCCCACGGGTACAAAAGCTTATAAATAATACAGAATACAGAATTAAGTTTTTTGAAAATCTAAAAATGCAGAAAGTTTCCTGTGAGGGGTAGGTTTAGGGGTAGGGTTGGTGTAGTGCAATAGAATATATATACGGTCTATACAGTAGAAAAACCATTACGCCTATGGAGAGTCCCCACAAGGATAGCTGCCAGACGCGTGTGTGTGTGTGTGTGTTTTTGCTCTCACTATCCTGGAATTATTGTGCGCGTCATCAATTAGTTGTGTCAAATGAGGATATTTACTATCTGCAGATCATCACAAACTTTAGATGTGGATCTGCCCTGCCTGTTATGGACTGGGCTTCAGAATGGTCTGTTGTGAATCAAATATTGACTCATGACTTTTTTTTCTGCACACGGATGCAAGTCTGAGCTCGCCTCAGCGCAGAACAAACAGACGACAGGATCACGTGTCTGCAGAAAACAACACTGGCGTTTTTATGGCTTCTAGATTTGATCTTGTACTTGATTGTCATCAAAATCTCCTGTCAAATAGAGCAAATAAACGTATACAGCCATAGATAAGATAATAATAAGAGTCATTAAGGCCTTCTCAAGTGCACAGAGACGTGAACGATTCTGTCAGAAGCTCAGATTTGTGATTCTTATCTGTAACTCTTTGCTAAATATTAGCGGCTTTGACGGATTAACCTGAAGCAACAAATGTCATATAGACCCTATAAGATAGCACAATTGAATATTTGACTGGAATGAAAAGGAGGCTGTGAGGAATATAGTTCATTTGGATTAATTTTATGTTTAGCAAAAAATGTGTTTGTTACTCAAGTTTTGTCAACACGAACAGATAGGCTACCACGTGCTGTCATGTCAAATATATATTAGCCTATACATTTTTTCGGCCTACTGATTCATCCTCAGATGGTTTTACGTGCTCAGTGTTTAATTTGGAGGAGGCGCCAAATTAAATGGACAAATAATGGGACAAATAAAATAGCCTGTATACAATTGTTATATACATGTTGCTTTTATCACAAGGTTGAATTGTGAAAAATGTTAGACTTAACTTTTTGATGTAAAACAGTGGCTTGTTTTAACATTCACCTGCCACTTAAATAACAAAGAAATTCACTTTAATGGATACTCAACATCCAAATTAGATCACAGTAATAAATCTGGCCAACTCCCTGTGTGCTAGAGTTAGAGTAAACAACAAGAACCATATGTCATGTTCTTAAAAGCAACTTTCAAGAATCCCAGACAGTCACGAGAACAGGTGTGTGAGAGAAGGGCGGCCTTTACTGGAGACGTTTGGAAATGCTTCTTATCCTATGTGATGCGAGAATGAATATAGATGGAGATATTTCCATTTCCATTAAGACATTTCCATTTAGCAGTTGTTTACAGATAATTATGGAAAATAGCAAAAAAAAAAAAAAAAACTGCAGCAGATTCATTATGAAGCCAGATCCACTGAGGAGGCCAGTATGGAGGAAGAAACCTGAAAAACAATCAATAAATAAATATGCAAATAAATAAATAAATGTCTGTATAAATACACAAATTCTTGTTTAAATACATATAGAAATAATTAAACATGTGATTAAAGTAGGCAAATAAATAAAATAAATTAGTGGACAAGTGGAAAATGTTTAAGGAAATTAGGCAAATAAATAAAATAAATTAGTGGACAAGTGGAAAATGTTTAAGGAAATGCAATGGTAAAGAGGACAGATAATTTTATCTCTAATTTCAAATTCAAATTCATCTTGTACTTGAAGCTTCATCCCTGTAACCACAACTATTAACCAATATTAAATCAAATTGAAAGGCATCAGTTGTTTAAGACGCAAACATGTTTTTCATTAGAATTTGTGTGTCTGAAATGTCTGGCTTAAAATTCAAAGGGCTTAGTGGTGCTGGACTTTAATTTCAAGTTTCAAAACATTTCATGATGTTTTATTGTCATGTGTCTCTACGGAGCTGAAGTGGATGCGGTACTATGCAGGTACAGTGTCCTGTCTGAACTACACTAGATTACGTTCATCTTAAAGTTAAATATTAAAACATCATCACAAAATCTTTGTCGGGGGAAGTTGTGATTAATATTCTGTTTTCCCAGTGGATGTGACTCTGGATCCTGATACAGTTCATGCTTATCGCATCCTGTCTGATGATAGAAAACAAGTGAGAGATGGAAACATTTGGCAGAAACTCTGAGACAACAAAAAGAGATCTGATAGATGTGTACATGTCCTGGGAAAGGAGGGATTCTCCTCAGGGAGAATTTATTTTGAGGTGCAGGTAAAGGGAATGACTGATTGGACTTTAGGAATGGGCAGAGAATCCATTGACAGGAAGGGAAAGATCACACTGTGTCCTAAAAATGGATACTGGATTATGTGGCTCTGAGGAATGGGAATGAATACATTGCTCGGTCTGATTTGTGTCTGCATCTGTATATGAGTACAGTTGAAGCCACAGCGGGTCGGTGTGTTTGTGGATTATGAGAAGGTTCTGGTCTCCTTTTATGATGTGGAGTCCAGCTCTCGTTTTCAGTCTTTCACTGAAAAACTCTATCCATATATGCCCATGCCTACACAACGAAGGTAAAAAGTTAAGCCCACCGATCATTACACATCATTATGTAAAAATGTAATGCTCAAATATTTTTTTTCAGTGTTTCATAAATGTTTGCCTTTTTCTCTCTCTCATCTACACCTGACAACATGAAATGATCTGTAAAAAGTTTACATTAAAATAAATCAAACTATGATAACCTTGATATATGCAGTTGTATAGCCTATATTCAGAGGTTCAAATGTACCAATCAATTATGTATCAGTTTGCTATCCAGGACAGTTATTTGTTCAGCCTCTATGGGCAGTTTACATAAATCAAGATACTTATGATAGTCAAGAATATAATGATAGGTCTGACATTTCTGGGTACCTCCACTGCACATGTGGGAGTACAAGGCAATGAAAAACTGGACAACCGGGCCAAACAGGCAATGAAATATATAGACACTTAAATTTAAATAACACAAGGAAAAGCAGAGATAAAAGGACAAATTAATGAATTCACAAATATAAAAAATGTGGGACTGGGAAACAAAGGGCAGACACCTCTACAAAAAACAAGAAGAGTAAAGAAGAGACACTGAACATGTATTATTACATTTTTTTCCTCTTCCTTATTAATGCTGCTTCACACTCCAATCTAGTCAATGGCAAACACACACACACACACACACACACACACACACACACACAGGTTTGCTTTTGTGAAAAGTGGGGACATCCCATAGGCGTAATGGTTTTTATACTGTATAAACTGTATGTGCTATTGCCCTACTACACCAGCCCTACCCCTAAACCTACCCCTCACAGGAAACTTTGTGCTATTTCAGATTTTCAATACACTCCATTCTGTGTGATTTATAAGCGTTTTGAAAAGTGGGGACATGGGGTAATGTCCTGAAAAGTCAACTTCTCCTTGTAATACCTCTTCCTTATTAATGCTGCTTCACACTCCAATCTAGTCAATGGCAAACACACACACACACACACAAAAGAGTTGGTTTGGCAGCCACCGTTACATCAAAGAAGTACACAACACTACAATTCCCACAAGTCCACGCGGCGGAATGGTAAGTATGAGCGCTTCCAGGTCATCCTCTGATCGAGTGTGTTACTAAGGCTCGAGCTCTCTGTTTTCTCGCTCTTCTCTTTTCTCTGTAAATGGCGCAATGATGTAGATAAGGAGAACATTTGAGACTCTCCGTGACATGCGCTATTCGGGATAATGCGGGATTCGGCGTGAAGACTGAGGCGTGAACGTCCGTAAGTCTGATCATAAATCTGATCATAAACAAACACTTTCATCTGCATGACTCGTATTAGACACAGACTGCTCTGCGTATTAGTAAGTTACAATCATTTTATACTGATATCACACATGCAAAAAGAGATTTATTACATGATTTCAAAATATCATAATATCTGCTAGTTCTACACTTTTTATTATAACTTTTAACTATCATGGTATAGTTCAAAATACCATAGTATTACCATTTGATACCATAACTGTAATATGGCACTGTCTAAAACATAGCAATACCATAGTACATTGATTGCATTAATATTATATATATATATAATATGTGTGTGTGTATGTATTTATATATACAGTGGGTACGGAAAGTATTCAGACCCCCTTAAATTTTTCACTCTTTGTTATGTTGCAGCCATTTGCTAAAATCATTTCAGTTATTTTTTTTATGCACCTTGCAAAAAATGTAAATTAAGGTTTTTAATCTTTTATTTTTTTTATAAATAATGATTACACTAAAAGATAGCAAGTCATTTATGCCTGTGGATGCATTTGTGTAAATGTAATAACTTATAAATATATTTTATTATTATATATTATATTTTAGTTCATGCTTAATAAAAAAACCCCAATATTTATAGTCCTATTCATTTTATAATTTTTTTACTTTTATGATTTACAATATTTACAATAATACACAATACATTAATATCGATAGGTTGCATATTCTGAAAAGGTACGTACAATTCTGAGCAGATACATTTGATCCTATGATTATGCATTTTAAAAAAATTTTTTTTTTTTACATATGATATTTGAAATCTTTATCAGATTTATCTTTATCATATATTATATTAGGCATGCAAATCATGCATGATGATATCAGACATAATTCATGCGGGTCCTACAGGAATTGTGATATTAAATTGAGAACATGGTGAGCTTCTAGAGCACATGCAGATGTGAAGGTGTGCTTTGTTTTGTTTATTAGGAAAGAAGAGGAGGATGTGGCAGAGTGTTGGTTTGACCGTGTTGGTGATCGTGGCCACGCTGATATGTGTCCTCCTCTTCATGCTCTTCGGTAAGTAGCTGCCAAACAGCCTGAGAAAAATCCTGCAATCCTTCATCTAATGCAATGCCATTTTTAAGTGCGACTTTTGGGGTCACTGTAGCTTATCTTAAACTAGACATTCAAGCAATTGCATGATTCGGTGAAGTCTATCGCAGTGGTTGCTTACTCCGTGATCGGTCATGAACCTGCTCACATTTCTGAGGAATTAGCCACACCTTCAGTTACAGGATTTCTCTACAGTGACTTCACGGCCTTGAATTGTGGGCTCATGAGTGAGAATGTGGTCGGTTCAGTCAAGCACCACAAAAATCGACCAGATTTGCTGACTGTCAGTAACACAGACGTCTCATTTCCAGAGTTCAGTGAGAGTAGAGTGCTGACTCTAGTCAAGGTTTCTCTGACTGACTCACGTCTGTTAAGGGCACAGTTTGTGTACTGTAGAAGCCTCTCAGCTGTTACATAAGCGTGCAATGTCCAGTATGTCATTTGAGAAGTTGTGTCATCATGTCAGACGCGGGCTTGGAGCAGAACGATGTAGCTCACTGCACTGAACATGCCAACACTTGTGTGTTTGAGGAAGATGCTTTTTCTGGGTTACCTAAAGTGTCAGAATATGTTATGAATTAAAGTAAAAAATTCTACCAAGAATGAGCCTAGGTTATATTTTACCAATAAAATTAATGCAAAAGCAAGTTTTTTTTTGTTTTTTTTTCTGTTGCATTTGTTAGTCTTTCTTAATATTAGTTTTTAAAAAGACAATTGTTCATTGCTTAATCATGTGTTAGTACATAATGCATGAACGGATGGTAAAAAATGCAACTTTTGGTTTTAAAAATGCATTTGTAAATGTTTAAATTGACAAATTCTTATTTTAATGATTGCATATTGTATCCCAAAATCAAAAGACAATTTGATCATTTTCTTTTGCATAAAGAAAATTACTATTTTAAACTCTGACGTTATTTGCATCACTACATTTTCATTAGCATAATGAATTCAGCTGTTTTACATTTTATTCTTATTATGAATTCATATTTCTTCCGAAAGTAAAAAAAACAAACAAATTGCAATGTTAAGATTTTTAGGATATTTTCTATTGACATTATTATTATTATTATTATTTACATTTTCCTAGTAAAGTCTTATTACCATAATGTTCCATGTGTTTCACATTTGATTCTATTTTTATTTTCATTTGAATTATTTTACTTTTCATATTGTACCCAATAATGAAAGAGGAAAAAAATCAATTATATTTTGCATAAATAAAAGTCTGAGATTTTCCCACCAAATTCTCATTACCATAATGCATCCAGATTTTTTTCTTACATTTTAATCTTATTATGAATTCATATTTCTTCCCAAAGTAAAAAAATTGCAATGTTAAGATTTTTAGGATATTTTCCATTGACATTATTATTATTATTATTATTATTATTATCATCATCATTTTCCTAGTAAAGCCTTATTACCATAATGTTCCATATGTTTTACATTTGATTCTATATTTATTTTTATTTTCATTTGAATTATTTTACTTTTCATATTGTACCCAATAATGAAAGAAGGGCAAATTTTTTTTTTTTTACATTTTAATCTTATTATGAATTCATATTTCTTCCCAAAGTAAAAAAAAATTGCAATGTTAAGATTTTTAGGATATTTTGCATTGATATTTATTATTATTATTATTTACATTTTTCTAGTAAAGTCTTATTACCATAATGTTCCACGTGTTATACATTTGATTCTATTTTTATTCTCATTTGAATAATGACTTTACTTTTCATATTTTACCCACTTTTCTTATTTTACCCAATAATGAAAGGGAAACTAATTGTCATAAACTGTACTTTGCATAAAATTAATATTGAGAAAATGTTGACATTCCCCCCACTAAATTCTTATTACCATAATGCATTTCAGATCATTTTCATTTGATTTATATTATGATTCTCATTAGTTTTATTTGACATTTTAGCATTTTTTGTGAGAAATTTTGACATTACATAGTGTAACAGTCGGGTCACAATGCTAACTCTTAAAGCTTGTAACATTAAACTTGGTTGGATTAACACACAACCTTAACTACTGTCTACAAATGGCTAAACAGTTCTCAGCAAAATGAAAGGTAAATCAAATTTGTCAGGCATCTGAAGTGCATTCTAGCTGAATCTGTGCTTTATCATACAGTTAATGCAAATGCTTCAGTCTGAACCAGAGTCAAATTGGAGATAGAAATGCAAAGGCATATCAGCTCACTCCTAGTTCCAGTGTACTCCTGACAGCCAACTTGTGTCTGTGTTTGTAGGGTGGTACGTGGTGTGGCAGCTCTTCCTGTCTAAGTTTAAGTTCCTGCGGGAGTTGGTGGGAGACACCGGTTCTCCGCAGGCTGAAACCGAGCCCTCCGAGTCCGAGAGTGAACGCAGCTCGCCCCCGACGCCCCGCCACAGACCCAAAAGCGCTCGCCAAAGGATCGTCCCTCCTGACAGCACTACATAGAGCCCTGAGCCAGATCTCCTCCAGTTCACCGCCATAAGCGTTATGCTGTTTTAGGCTGGACGTGAGGTCATTTGTGTCCTGGACCTGCATCAGTCACTGTGCTCTCCTTCACATCCACTCATCATGGTTACACTCCTTCACAGTCGGTCTGAAGACACGGTTTTTTTTGTATGTACCGGCTGAGCCACACGTTCATGTCCCGACTAACACGCTGCTGCCCTCCACTCCGGATGTATAGTATATTTACGTGAGAGCGTATTGATATGTATTTGTTACTGTTTAACCAATCTGTTAATGACTCAAGCTCACAAAAAAACAAGCCGATGACCAAACGTCCAGTGTTTCTGTGAGCTAACAGCACTACTATTCACAATGTATGGAAGCTGTTTCCGCCACAGAATAAAAAAAAAAAAAAGGTAATTACGACTTTTTCATCTCACAATTCTGATGGAAAAACAGAATTGAGAGATATTAACATCTCACAATTCTGACTTTTTTCACTCTGAATACTGAGTTTACATAAAAAAGCTAATTGCGTCTCTCTTTCTCACAATCCTTTGACTTTTTCCCTTGTAATTGCGAGTTTATATCTCACAAATCTGAATTTATGTTTAACAATTCTGACTTTTTTTTTCTTACAATTTATATTTTTCTTTTCATAATTGTGAGTTTATATCTAAGTATTGTATTACCTTTTTCATTTTTTTTATTCCATGGCAGAAACAAAAAGACAAAATTGTAAATGTACTATTGTGTGACAGAAAACCCCCTCACAATTTTTCCAGAATTTTTTTTTGGACAGTTTATTTTCTGAGAAAAAAAATTTGTGAAGAAGTTAAAGTCACAGTTACCTTTTAATTTAATAATAATAAAAAAAAATCGTGACTGAAACAGGCTTCCATACAAATTTGTCTAACAAGTGCAATGAAAGCGTCTTTATTTGTCACAAAGTAATCAAACATTTTGACAGGACTGCACACCCTACCAATGTTAAGAATAGGCACATTAGGATGATGTTTTTGTCAAATTTCCTTCGCTCCCAACACAGCATAGTGCTTTATGATGGCTGCCATCAGTCGCCTCCGCTCCGCATCCTTGTGCCTCTGGCTTGGGTTGACGTCGTCCTGTTTGAGCGGGTGGATCTCGGATACTCCTGCTGTTCCCAGCTTTAGAGAAGCATTAGAGCTAGAAATGCTGCACTGACCTGAGGTCAGCCCGACCCTGTCTGTGTGTGAAACTGTCCACAGGTCCGCTTCCGAAGAAATGCCGTTATCACCAGTGTAGACGGTCACATGTTTTCTTTCTTTCTTTCTTTGGTCCCTTTTATGACAGTAAATGTTTCCCCTTCATAATAAATATATTTCATAAAACATTTAATTTGTTTATGTGAACTGACTTCAGTGCACATTTTTAATGCATATTTTAATTATACTTTTAAAACTGAACTCTGACAGTCTCAGGAGGCTTATTGCTGTAATTTAAAAGTCAGTTATTTTCTCAGGTATTGTTTTGTACTTCAGTAATCAGTACTTACTCATAAAACACCTGGGTTTGGGGGGCACATGAATTTTCCTGGTATGACTGTAGTGATTCTGCTGTAGTGCAAAACATGTCCACTGGATGGCAGTAAAATGCGAATACAATAACACAGTAAAGCTTAAAGTTGTGAAGTGTTTTCAAAAAATGTAATTGTCTCCCAAAAAAATTATTGGCTTCTAGTTTAAAATTTAAAGTGACTGGCTTTAATCAGTCTTTAAAAGAAAAGAAAAAAACTAGAATTAATATATACTGCATATATTGACATATAAGTAGGTTTGCTGACATTTAAACCCTATTATAGTATTAGTAGGGCCTGCTTTTGTCGTTTAATTATGGTACGTCATAATTTATTACCATAATGCATACATTTGACGTCAATTGCATTATTATTATTATTATTAACAAATGCAAAAGCACTCTGATCACCTTTTCTGCGTCAGCACATTCTGCTGCACTACTGAGAGTGTCCACATGGTGGCAGTAAAAGGCGAATAACAGCAGGGCCTTTTCAACCACTCTAATAATAACAACAATAATAATGCTTCTAAATTAGAACCTAAAATTAATAACACTTTTAGAGTTTGCAGTATAACTTTAATTATATTATTGTGCAGTAAATAAAAACATGAAAAGTTCAACTGAAATATTTTTGCTGCACTACAAAAAAGTCCACCAGATGGCAGTAAATGCGAATAAAATAACACTAGAACCTGAAGGCGATAGATAGATAGATAGATAGATTTGTTAATAAAATTTTGTAATGTCACATTCATTAAATGTTATTAAGAAATAGGCGGGGCTCAGAGGACCGGGGGCTGCCCCTGACTTTGAATCTAAATAATACATTTGCCTATTTTAACCTGTATTTTAAGACTAACATTATGTATGTTATTCACTTTTATTACTGTCATTTCTCAGGTATAAAATAATATCCACACAGCTACTGAAGGGCCAGATAAACATCAGTCACGTCGCACCTGTTACTTTTCTCAGCGCTGATAATAATTGACTGATCAGAGTCGTTTGTGATTACTGTACAAGGTATTTTATTTAGACATAAACATTTATAGAGATTGCCTGGGCGGTATTAATTAATTAATTAATATGTTTGAATAATTAATAATTACACTTTTGGTGCCAAATATCTTAAAGGGGTCCTATTATGCTCTTTTACAAAGTCTTGATTTTGTTATGGGGGTGTACTAGAACATGCTCTCATGCTTGGTGGTTCGAAAAACGCATTCTTTTTCACATAATTTACATTAGTACAAGGCCTTTCTCCCCAGCCTGGCACAAACGGCTCGATTAGTTCCGGCTTTGATGAAGGCCCGCCTTCCGAAAAACAAAATGTGTTGTGATTGGTTAGCTGTCCCAGAGCGTTGTAATTGGCGAACAGCTTAGACGGTGTTTCAGTACTGCCACGCCCCCTTGCTCCATCTTTCAACAAAAGCTTTTGGGAATCCGGCACTGTACTCCCTCGTGTTGTGGAAGCTGTCCTCAGTAAAATGCGCAGCACACAATAGCAAATTGGGGTTATAATGCTCAGGACAGAGTTAAAAGTAAATTGCAACCACTGTTTCCTGACATCATCCGCTTTCGGAAGCCCAAACAAAGACGTTTGGGCACGGAGGTGAAAAAAACAGCGTTTCAGGCGGTCACACACTGGACGAGAGTCGCGTCGCACCACGTCTTTAAAATTCAAATACATTATTTTCTATGAGTGTAGGCACACCGGCGGCGCC